ATGTCACAACGGGTTTATGTGCCAACTTTTATTCATTTATGACTCATGATCAATGTTTTTTACATTTTAGTAACTTGTTGATAATATGCAATTTTAATACCCTTTTGAATCAATAACAATGCTAATTCAGACCAGAATAAACAATGGATTCCCTAAATGTTAGCAATTACATACAATTTAGTAATCATTTGCTATTATTTTCTAATTATTAAAATCTGTTTGGAAATAAAATCTTTCTTTCAATTTTTATAATATTATTTTGATTCTATTAATGACTGTAGTGTTTAAGCAAATACAATACAAAGTCCGAGATCTGGACTGGTCGGTACTTCCACGCTTTCGGATTTGGGATTTTTCCGGATATTAGATCATCAGTTTAAACTTAGTAAGATGGCATGTAGGAATTATAAAATTAAAAATAGGAAACCATGATTTACGAAATAATGAATCATAAATGCTTCAAAATTACAAAAAAGGGTATCAAAATTAAAAAAAAAAAGCTTAATATTCATTTGTTTACTTTATTAAACATTTCTTTCAATGCAAGTTGTTTAAGTTACTTCATTTTTTGTGCTAACACTGATTCTACAGACAAACATAATTTCTCGTTTAGTTACAAAGTTTCATTGTTCAAGTTCTGTAATTGCTGTGTCAAGAATTCCGACTAACTTGTCAATTGAAATTTTTTCGTTTTCAGTAAACTCTCCGTCACTTTCTTCACTATCGGTAGCGGTATTTTCTGGATCTAGAGTCATAATACAGATTTTACCATCCATTAATTGATTGATGATTGAGGAGCATTGTCATCACAATGAAAAGTTTCTTTTATATCAACTTCATTTATTACTGCTTCCCTACATTTCTTTACAAAATCCTTTAATTCTAAAATTTCACCTTTGGTTTGCGATACCTGAAAACCTTTAAAATTCACGGTTATGTTCATATAATTTAGCTATCGTTCACTATACATATTTGGCTATGTATCATGAGATTGGTGACTAAAGACAAGTTGCTGTACTAAATTTTATTTTGCTTCTGTTGCGCTCTGAGACAATTAAGCCTGAAGTGTATTAGTTTAGTAATTTATTATACCTGAGTCTATTTCTTGCACATGCTTAAGGCTTATCTGAGTTCTGAATAAATAAATTCTCACATATACTTAAGGCTTATTGAGTGGCACTTACCAAGTGCCTCCCTTTGTCTTTCTTAATTTCTTCCGCCCGTTGCGGCAATACGAGCCCTGGCAGTGGTTCTAGGTTTATTTGAATAACAAATCAGTTATTCTTAATTCAAATGCTACTAAATGCAATCTTTTGGCCCACGAGTATCATTAAGAAAATCTATTTTTAGCATACGGAAAGAAGTTTTTGTTAAATTTTTCCTCATCAACATTTCTTAGCGCATTTAACTTAAATCTGTAATCATTGCTTGCGTAATGTCAATGTAAAAGTTTACCATACTCTTTATTACTCAATTACTAACAAAAAAAAAAAAAAAACTGTTTAGACATTACTCAAGTTGTCATGTGTTGATAAATATGCAGTGATGAAAGCAAAATATAATAAATAATGATTCGTCAGGTTGGAGTCAGGGATATAAAATATTAGTATGTGTAAAATCAACTATGTATCTATGCAGAATGTTTCAGTTTGAGATGTATACCAAGCAGATTAGGATTGAAGCCAAATTCTTGATCATACAAATTTATGCTAAAATTACTGTTTCTTTAACAACAAGGCATTTTATTTAGTGCCGAAGTAAAATTACGAATCGGGACTCTCCACGTGTTTTATTATGCGTGGGAGAGGGAATCAAATGCGCATGCGTAAAGCATACAAAATAAATAAATAAAAAGGTTGTTGATGGCATTGAGGTCCGAATTTTAGATCATCCGGATGTTGGACGTTCAGATCTCACACTTTGTACTGTATGTATAAGAGTATAAATACTGAAAGATAACTGATGAATTATTCTACTGGATTAATAAAAGCAGATTTCCATAACTAAATTATCATGATTTTATTGAAAAAGTTACACAATTTAACCTTACATCAAATTTAGACAGAGACTACGGTGATGTAAGGAGACTATAATGATGTAAGTAGAATGAATTACATATAATTATATGACACACTTTTATATATTCATATATAATTTTCCTTACATCACTGTAGTTAAAAAAAGCTATCAGAGTCAAAAATTAAATCTGTTTTCAAGCCTAAATAACATTTTCCCAGATTCTCATACATCCTCCTATTTTTTCCTCTAATAGGCAAAGAAGTTGTTAAGCATTTACTGGGAATAATAAATTATTTTAATGTGGAATGACTCCTGAAGAAAGAGAATATAATATGTTAAGAAGTTCTGAGTTTTAGTAGAAGAAAATTTTAAGGTCTTCAAAATATTATTTCATTTAGAAGCAGTAGAAACCATAGAGAAAATAAATATCCTTGTAATTTTGTTTATAAATTCAAAGAGTTACTTTTTCACAAAATAATTTTAGAAATCTGAACTATTAAAGGAAATGAAAAATATTTTTACAAAATGGATTAATTACGTGACTTCAATCATTCTGTTTAAGTACTAAACAATGAGGAAAATCTCCACATTTTCTTTTAGCTCATTTAAAATGTAGACACTGAAATTCTCTTATGTCTTTACAACACTTATCTGATATTTCATGACTTTAATTTAAAAATCCCGACTTTTAATTAAACATTTAAGAAAATCCTCTTTAAGATTTAAAATCAATCAATTTAAGAACAGTCTTTTTTTCTTTTTTTAAATTCATAATTGCATAAAAATGGCATGCATGCTAAAATATTGACATATCACATTTGCAAAAATAACATCAATTTCAATCAGTTCAGCATTTTAATATGTACTTTTATATATAAATACTTTTATATATAATATACTTTTATATATATTTTAATAAAGTACAGTGATAACTGAAATTTTGATTCAAGGCACCTCATATTAGTTGCTTTCTCAAATATATAAACAGCTATTCTTCTAGATGTATAGAGAACTATGAATTATGAACTTTAATGTAAAGGCCATAATTTAAAATTTAAATAATTTAAAATTTTGCATATTACTCCTGTTTTACATAAAGATATTCATCATACTTCATATTCCTTGATGCAAATACCTCAAGGAATATGTAAATACTTCAGGATATGCATTTTTAGAAGAATAAAGAGATATCACAATATGATTTGAAATACTTAAAAACTATCATAACAAATTAGGTATAACTATTTATGCACAGAAATTTAAAAACTTGCATTCTAAAAAGTAATACAGCAGTTTTCAAAAATTATTTTCTTAACTGCCTAAACTGTAGTATGTTTTATTCTTATAAAAATGAACAAGAAAAAAAAATTCTAAAATTTTTTAATAGGAAGTAGGCCATAGTTTTATTAATAATGTAAAAAAAAGTTAGATTAAATATTTATCAGGGGGAAAAACAGCAAAGCAAATATGAAAGTAATGAAAAGAAAGTGCATAATCTCAGACAAATATCTGAAAAATATAAAAAATTTCTATTAATTAATTTACTTTGTTAGAAAACGAATATACACCAAGACTCCAGAAAATAATCATCTAATTCGGGGGGGGGGGAATAGATAAAAATCCAAAAATTTATCCTACATTCACTAATAATTCCAGATTAATTTCCAAATTAATTTTTTTGATATACAGTTGTATTATAATTTTATATATATATATATATATATATATATATATAATTCGTTTAGATGATATCCCCAGAAAATAAAGCAAAGATAAAATCAAATGGTACTTTCACTAACTGTTTAAAATATAAAATTACAACTATCATTCTAAATTTTATAATGAGAGATATTCAAATTTATAGATACTTTAAATCAGCTTTGATATTTTCAAATTAATTGCTTTGTTGAATAACCAAATTTGGTGTATATATGGTGTATACATATATTAAATTCATTATTTGACGAAATATGTGATCTTTAAAATTCTGAAAAATCTGCTGTAAAATTAATAGTTTATTGGGATGCAATTTATAACTGTATGAGGTTAAGATAATCATATGAAATATAGGCTTTCACCAAAAGATATTTGCATGTGTATCAAACACTAATTTCCATTTAAACCAACATTAAAAGACACAAAAATAAGCTCTGGTAATAATTCTAACTTTAAACACAAAAATTAAAGTTTTCAGGAGTATGCTACAAGTACAATTTTATTCAGCACTTCTAGAAATAAACATACATTTTTACAGAAATGTGTTATTAATGCATATTAGATACAATCATTTCTACGATTAAATTTCTTTTTTTCAGTTAGCATTTAAAACATAATAATAGTAATAATAAGATACTAATAAAATTTAAAATAACGCATATATTTTTCATTAAATTTATAGATTAGTGCATTATTTTTTTTTATTAAGTCAGCAACTAATTTAATCTGATAAAGAGCAAATATTATTAAAAACATTACATGTTACACTGCATTACAGAAATAGAATAAAACAGTCTTTAAATGAAAGGGTGATATAATTACAATCTAAATCTTAAAATGATATAATCTAAATAATATCATGAGTTAATTCATTAAATTATGTACAAAGAACTATTGGAATCTGCATATGCCCTAATAATATTAATTGCAAAATTTAAATTAATGAGAAATTTAAAAAAATGCAAAGTTAATAATTAAATGCATTCTTTTAACCAAGTTAAAATAGCAAAACATAATTTGCAAAAAATTACAAAAGTAAATAAAATAATGTAATCTGCAAGAAATTACATTATTTTATTTACTCTTATAACCTAATATTGTGTTTCAATTTAAAATTTGCACTAAGTACATTTTAAATAAATTTCATAATTTAACAAAAATTTAGAAATATTTTTTTTCATAGCTGCTTATTTTAATTATGTATAAAATTATTGTGATAAATAGTTTTATATGTACTATGAAGGAATAAAACACTGATTGCTTACTCATAATTTTTGACTCCACTTTCTTTTTGACACTTTTCATGATCCACTAATGTTGCTTTTGCATCAAAGACAAGACTTTGTATTAGGTCTTTCTCACCTAGAATATTTTAAACTAAGAATAAATGTTTAAAATTATGTGCAAAGAATTCTGTAAAAGCGTAAGTATTTAGGGATTTAGCAGCTTTTCCAAAAATTAAATCTGATCAGTAACTTGCAGATTAACTACCTTTTAAGACAACTTTTATAAACTGTCAGGCACAGCTAGCAATTACAAATACAACACATCTTTTCATTTATTAGTTAGCCTTAAAAATTACGAACAAGAAGTTCATAGATTAGCATAGTGTTTAGCAATGAATGAGTTTTTTCTTTTTAAATTAGACGTATTAAATACAAAAACAGCAGGAAAAAAATAACGCTTCCTGCTAAAAGCAGCAATAAAGTTAACATTCAGCTTAAATAAATAATTTCAAAAATGTTCCAGGAAATATTTTTTTTCAGAGAAATTTTGGTTAATGCAGAACCTCATAACATTAATTATACAAATTAGAACTCCTTTGCTAAAATCCTGTTGATGAAATAATTGCTGCCTATAAAATTCATTAGCCATGTCAAAAACTCAAGTATAACTATATAATACTTGGCTTTGACTTTTGAAAGTACCAACCAACTTCAGAAATGAAATGCACTATTATGTACAGAGTGGATAGTAAAATCTTTGAACACTGAAATAATCCTAGAATACAGAAAGTTAGAATTGAGAAAATTGTATCCACCAGTAAAATGACAATGCTTTATCATATGAGATCAACAACAGCACCCCTAGATGCAAATTTTGGAAGTTAGATAGACACATTAACATGAAAACTATGAGACACAGAAAAACAGTAAACATGTTGAGCATCACTGATTTGGTATGAAAATAATACATTATCAATAACTTGAACACAAACTTTTAAATTCAGATTTCTCAGCATCCAGTCACTAGAATAACTAGGCTACTAATGCCCACTACAAAGTATAAAATCTTTAAGCAAGAATTTCCTCTGAAACAACATGCAAATAAAAATGCTGCCTAAAACCTAACTGGGAAGTATAAATTGTCAGAAAAAATTTGTTAGACAATACATCGACAGGATTTTCAAATCCAGACACACTAGTTCTTGATGAGGAATATTGCGAGATGGTTCTCTTGCATGGAAATGTGGTCTTCAGGTAGAGCAGAGAGCACAGCAATATGCTTTATATATCTTTAATCATTCTCATTCACTACTGCTAATATTATCAATGACACCAGCCAGATTAGAGAAATAGGAAGTAATTAATTAAGTCATCCCTTCAGGCAGTCCCACAGAGAACTGCATATGCAGCTGTGAACATGCAATGGATGTCCTGGCCTATTCACACAATAATGCAGCATGGCATGTGATCTTATATTTTGTTATAAAGGCAAACTTTACATGAATTGCAAATTCAACATTAATGCAAGTACAGTAAATAAATGCATGGGCTGCTGCCAAGAAATACCACATATGATATGACTTATCATCTAACTTTACAATGAATACACTAGATGCACAATTGGATTATTTGGTTAACATTATGTGGATGAAAGTTATGCAATTTGATCACAAAGGGGTATTAAACCAACACAGCTTGTACTACTGGGTACTTGAAAACTCATCACAGCAAAAACAAGTTTGTGATCAAGTCAAATGGTCCATTAATGCATGCCTCACATGGCCTGCGCTCTACAAGAGAGTTTTAACTGGTGAAGGTAACTAATAACAGCTGCTCACCACATCAGGTTAGTATCAGAACAAAGTTTCTTGTTGGACAATTCTGATCACAGGATCATTGTTTCTGAAGCCAATGTGGAGTAACCACCAAGACCAACTGATCTAACCAAATTAATCATTTCTCCTTGTTGGAAAACATGAAAGGCCATGTGTACAGCTTACCATCTCACAATGTTAACAATCTATATATATCCATATTCCAAATACATAGTAATCCAATACCTGAGAGCTCTGCAGAATATTCTTCAAGCTTTAGATTGAATACAGATCTATGATGCTCCTAATGATGGACACATAGAGCATTCTCAACTAATGGTATGGTATAAAGTCCAAGATCCGGATTGATTGGGATTTTGGCGCTATCAGTTTTCAGAAATTTCTGAATTTTAGATCATCAGTTTAAATCTGGTAAGATGCTACATATGTATGGTGACATTGAGATTTATTGTTTAAGTCAGACAGAGAAATGTTACTTCTCTCTCCAGAGAGTCAGAACAGGTGCAACTGCTATGGCTGCAACCGAGTGTCGAAATTTAAGGGCACCAAAAATTTTTAGAATTCAGAGGATCTAGCAACAAAAATTAAGAATTGGCTGAATTTTTAGAATTTAGAGGTGGCGAAATTTTTAGAACTTAGGGAGGTACTGGGCAGCAAAATTTGTACATGCAGATTGTATCATGCAGCAAAATGGCCCTGCTCCTTTCAACAACTGCTCAAAAGTCAAAAGTTTGATCTTGAACAATATCAATATAATGTCAGTTAATGCAGTGTTACTGGCATTGTGCGACTCTCTAGCCAGCAGGTGTTTAAAATTGACATGGAAGAAAAATCATCCTATTTGCTTCACACCTGCCACCTTTTGTTATTATAGTCTCTATTCCTAGACTTTGTAAAGGGGAATTTTATTTAAGTAACTTCATTAAGTAAAAATATATACACACACTGTATGTGTGCATATAGATGTGTGTGTGTGTGTGTGTGTAAGTAATAAAGCAACCTTTCATGGTAATAAAAACAGCAGTTAGCAGTATTGATGGCATAGAATGTTGAATCCATAATGTATAGTAAGAACTTGATTGCATAGTAACGTACAGTAAGAACAGATTGCATAGAGTGTTGGAGGCAGATTAAATCGTCATTTTGATTTCAGTAAACGTGTTGCAGCTACAAACAACTTGGCAGACTATTTGGGCCTATTTCAAAATATTTACTTTTCTGACAGCTTTGCAGTAAAAACAGAACAGGAGGCAGCAGTCCAGCTAGGCCAAATTATAGAAAGAGAGTGCCTTGCATTCAGGATGAAATCTTAGTTCAGAATGAGTAGTCTCAGTTGTCAATGTATTTGATTTGATAATTAATGCTATAAAAATTATTATCAGCTGTTTTAGTTCCATTTAAATCACCAGCATTATGTAAGAGTCATATGACATAGACTAGTTTTGAAATGATGCAGTGCATAAAAAGGTTACTACATTTAGAATAGAGAGAGAAAATAAATTATTCAGAAATAAGCATTATGGGGCTATTGCTTATCTAATTTATAATTTATGTTTACACATTTTTTATCTCACATACATACATGCACACACACACACACACACACACACACACATATATATATATATATATTTGGTTGGTGGTCCATAGGTTCGATACTAGACTTCTGGAATTCGGATTTTGTACTGTACTGACATTTCATGATTCTAGAATGTCATTTTGTGTCTTTCTTCTTCATAATGTCCTACTGTTGTATTAGTAAGCATATACTATAGTATAGTTACTTTATTACTATAGTAAATTACATCTCGCTGAGACAACTGCTTTATTAATAAAATTGCATCCGTCTTACAGATTCACTCATGTGAGTGATAGCACATTGATGCTGATAATCTGCTGCATTTCAAAGCTTCTATTCAGACTACTAGCAAATATAAAAGCATCATTTCATACTAAATTGATAATGTTCTACATGTTTGCCACAGACATTAATTTCATTTTCTCTCATAATTTTTGCAACAGAATCACAAACTCCAAAAATTTGTTTCTAATAGGGCTGCAGTCAGTTTTGTGACACAGTAGAGATACAATGAACCCCACTTTATATCTACATCCAATTATTTCCATATTTAAGATATTTTTATACATTAGTTAACATTAATTAAGGAAAAATAACAAAAATGACTATTACTCAGTAAGTTACACGTATAATTTAATGAAACTGACTCACATTACACAACATATAATAAGGTATAAAATAACATGAAAAGAAATTACCAGACAATTATGGTATTATAGAAATTAGCATATGTATAAAAAGAATAAATCAGCTGTGTCAGTTGGATATTGGAAATTTACCTTCATTATGGAATATGATCTTCCCTAGAAGCAATACAGCACATACAGGAATGTGTGTTGCTATCAATTATGCAGTCTATCAGTTCCATAGGAAGTAAGAGTCATTGCTCTTGAAAAGCAGTTGAAAGCATGTCAAGGGGCTGAAGAGGAGGACTGAGAGCAGCAGTATGTCAAGCATCCCAAACATCATCCCATCATCAACAGGACTGAGGTCTGGTGATCGAGCTGGCCACTCCATGCACTGAATTGTTTGCTGCTGAAGATTACCATCCACAGTGCGAGCCCTGTACAGTCTAACATTGCCATCTTGTAGCAGGAAATCACCACCTACTGACCCAGCATGAGGGCACACATAAGCATCAAGAGTGTCATCTCTATAGGCCTGAGAATTCATGGTTCCACGTGCAAAGACATGGAGGTCTGTGCGTCTACCCAAAGAGATACCACCCTCAAACACAGACACTGCCTCCTCCATATGCATCTTTTTCATGGATGTTTGATGAATGATAATGGATTCCAGGTTCTCTCCAAATCAAATAACACCTACCACCTTTAGAGGCTAAACCTGGACTCATCAATAAAGCTAACAGCCCTCCACTGATCAGCTGTCTAGTGGACATGTTGACATGCCCATCTCAAATGTTCTCTTCTATGACATGATGTGAATGGCATGCAAATGGCTCATTGCCTTGCATACAGACCTCCTTCGTAAAACCTCCTACGCATGGTTGATGTTAATGCTAATTAATGTTAATGCTAGTAGTTGCACAAAGGAGGATCTGTGTTCCTTTATGCACATAACAACAAATATTTGTCATCAGCCCCAGTCGTAGCAGTCGGCTGTCCTTGACTGAAACTCCTAGATGCTGAATCTGTGGTTAGAAATTATTGCCAAAGAGTATGAATCCCAGAAGGACTCATATTTAGCTATCTGGCCACGTCTGTCTGACTTTGTCCTGCCTTTAGTACCTCAATAGCTCTCCATCAAAATTCTTTGGGCAAATAATACCTGAAGGTCATTGTTATAAATTGACTGAACCAGATTTCTTATCTCAGTATCACAACGAAATTTGCAGGCATGCTCTCACACATGCAGTTTTATACTCCTCGGTGACATGCTTTGATTGCAGCACCACTAATTTCCATACTGCAGTTTTACTCAGCAACTTTTATTTGGCAACATATTCAAATTTTATATAGATTGGCTTATTTTTGAACAAATTGTAGCTATTTTTGCGATTTTTCCTTAACTTTTTGGAAACCAGTATACATTCTGTATATATAATTAATAAAGTTAAATAATGACCCAATTCCAGGAAAATATATATTTTCCACTCTCTTGATTAGAGAAGAAATGCACAAAAACAAATAATGTTTGCACAAATGCTTTCTTAGCATATTCATATTTCTCCCTTTTCAGAATTTTAATAAGTTGGTTGATTAATTGACTGAAGCAAAGCAGATGATTATTTGCCTAAAAGTAGGGATGCTTTATGAAGTACTTTTAGAGGTAAACTTGTTTGTATTTCATACTGTGTAACAGGAAACCCATGAAAATGCCCAAGTTGCCAGGCCATTCACTGGTATTTGAAACTAGGTCAGACTACAAGTATTCAGCAATCTTATCCACCCTGATGCTGATTCATCTGTTAGAAATTTAAGACAGTTGCTTTAATAACTATTGGGTCATTCAAAATATTCAGTGGTTTTTTATGACAAATACAAAAGTAGCAGTACAAAAACATAAAAAACTTTCATTGAATCACGTAAGTACCATTTTATTCCATGACTTTTTGTCATTTCTCAGGCAGCTGAAAAATTCCTTTTTAAAAAAAGTTATTTGGTTTATTTATAAAGAAGTTATCGATATGCTGTTTGATCATCTCCAGAGACATGAACTCATATGAACTCAGGCCATTCATAATATTTTAAAGTGACTTGAAGCTGAAAGAAACTTTATTTATTTTTTTTTTACAACAAAGAATCAAATGAAACTTGAGCAAGCATATTTTGCTCTATTAAATTATAGGATATCCAACACCATAGCAGCTTACACACACAATCTTCTTCAATGATCATGTACTGCACATTGTGGGATATGTATGCTGTCTGGAAGTTTCTATATAACATGGATAATTAGTAATACTTTTTAACAGGTTCTTGTTTACAGAGGACGCTTGTTCAGAGTAGCCATCATTTTTCAGGCTCAAATTTCCATGCTTCTCAATCAGCTTAGAACTGTGTCATCAGAAAAAGCACTTTTCTTCCTACACAGTTTCTCAATCAGCTTAGAACTGTGTCATCAGAAAAAGCACTTTTCTTCCTACACAGTTTCTCAATCAGCTTAGAACTGTGTCATCAGAAAAAGCACTTTTCTTCATACACAGTACAAATTTTGCAAGCAGTCTGACTAGCATTTTATTTTCATTTTTTGAAAAAAAAGAACACATGACAAAAATGAACTTCTTTGATCTCCATTCTTAGCATGGCACTGAAACAAAATTTATGCCACAATACATGCTAGAATAATACACTATAAATGAAAAAGACCATATTTACACATTTGTTTGAATCAACATAATAAAATAACAGAAGAAAATATGCTTCAATTTGAAAAACGACATAACTTTGGGAAAGACTCAACATTTTGTAATTAGGGAAAGTTAAACACACTCTGCATACATAAGTATAAAACTTTGAACTGAAAATTTTTTGAAAGTAACAGATTTAAATCCAATTGCATAGAAAGTCTCTAATTCATTATTTTTTAAAACATTTTTAGAGTTGAAAACTTTGACTAATTTTATTTTTACTCAGGACTGTATTTTCATTATATGTCCACTTCTCATGATCAGTTTTTAAGTCTTTTTACATGATGTGTTTCTTAACATCTGTAAGCAAATATTATTTCCACTATATAGAGAAATGCAAAAGTCACATGGAATAAGAACTACTGAACATCTCACAATATAACATCCATAAAATGCAATTTTTTTAGCTGATTGATTACCATTTATTACATAATAGTCACAAATAAATACAAAGTAATATCTAATAGGAAGTAATGCCAAGTATAGTGGCATCATACTTTTTGTCAGCCATGATTGTGCTGGTGGAATTTTTTGGGTTGTGAGAAGGATGGACTTTTCCACTGAACTTACTACAGTTTAAGGTCTGTTAGCCACATTTGATCAAAAGAAATGATTCCACATAGGAAAAAATATTTCCCTTTCATGAACAAATCTTTATTTCAATAACATTGCATCAAGTAACAAGAGACCCACTAGCCACAAAACGTTCTTTTCTAAACAGATTTATCAAAATGATGTGCTAATACTGGTGAAATTGCTGTCGCTTGTAATAATTTTTAACATGTTATAGACACTGTTACACTATTATAGACAATAAACATGTCTGCTGTTTTAGAATATTTTCAGCTTCTCTGTGATAAACTTATAAATCATATGTGAACTGAAATGAAATGCACTGCACCTGAAAAGAAGTATTAACTGAAGATTAAATGGCATTCACCATCTTTCATTAATGAGAAACTCACTTACTGAAAGATAATTTATTCATTATTAATATTAAAAGCCCACATTATTATCAAACATTATTTTAGTATTTCATTATAATGTTATTTGTGCAATATTAGTTAAAAAAGAGGAAAAAATTTAAATGAATACAATTTTTAATAAATACTTATTAATTACATCACAGTATGTGTATTATTTGCTACACAATCAATTTAAGGCTGTGAACATTCAACTAACGTCCATTAACAGCTGTGCAGATAAAAGTGCTGAATGCTATTAATTGAATCTATGTTCAAACTTTGGTGAATGACCTGGTTACTTTAGCACTTTCTCTTAAAAAATGCTTTAGGAAGGCATCCCTACCCACTCCGACCCCAGGAAGACAGCCTGAACAAGCTTTGCTGCAATTTAAAAAGTCCAGTTCTATTCATTCTGCTAAAAATATGGGAAGTATAACTTTAGAAAGACTTATTACTCAAGATTCTACAGCACAGTTCACAATGAATGTTGTTTAAGAAAGCAGCTGAGAATAAACTTGTACTGTTTTCAAACTGTACACTGAAGGAATATTTGTGTATTATGGAAGTTATGGTGATATACCAATAATTTTGAATTGATATTTAGACTATTAATTTATAATCTTTAGAAGAAGCATGAATGGCTAATGCTTGACTTGTGATTAGAAAATATTTACATGTGATCATGAGAAAATTTGACAACAAACTCATTGTTAATTAAATTCTTAAGAAAACTCCCATTCCTCAATATACAGTAATAGAAGCTGTGTTGAAAATAATCATACTAGTTCCATAATAAATTAAATTTGAGCAATCACAAAAATACTTGAAGTTTTAAACTAACTATAAGTTGACTTATGATAATGACTCTGCAGTTACTTTCATATGTGGAAGAAATAACAATCATAAACATTAAAACTACTTAAAAATAATTCATTGTTCTATAATCTTTTAAAAATAAAAATCAATATAAAATATTAAAAATTTTAAATAAATTTTGAAACTGAATTTTTGAATTAAGATTTTTAAAACAGAATTTGGTTAAATTCAAATGACAAAAGAATTTATCACGGAATTCTATTTCTTAACACAGAATTTCATTCATGAATCAACAATGAAGATAATTTAAAACCATTTACTATGTTTTGTTAGAATCCTCCTTAAGAGGTACATAATATGTATTCAGCTAGTTTCATGTAAGACAATTTTTTATGCAAAACATTTATTTGACCTTAGCTTTTCATACTGAAAATGTATTAAGTAATTCTCAAATCCTATAAAACAAAACTGCTAATAAAAAAAGAAAAATGCACAAAAGTTCTTACATATAGGTTTATCAAATATTGGTGGACGGGTGCTAGTTGTACTCCATCTAAAATTTTGAGTTGAGAGAGATTCTGACAAAAACTTTTTAATGTTTTCTTCAGGGGTTGTATAATCATTATCCTCTTTCTGAGAATTCTCACAATAAATCCTATATTAGAGAGAGAAGAAACTCAACATAATGAAAAGAAGTACATTCAGAAGAAAATTTAAATTAAAGAAGGCATTCATTTAAATACTAAATTAATTAACAGCATGAACGGATGCATTTATCAAAAATGATATTTCACGCTTTCTATCCAACAAATTTTAACTCCCATATTTAGCAACACAGAGTAAATCAGTTGCAAAACGTATAAGCCTTGCCTTTATATTTAATGAAATCTAAACTTATAGAATGAACATTCTGCTTAATTTTTCAGAAATTTAAAGGCTTACTATGGATACTACATACAGAATATGCAAATTAACCTAAATATCTAAATAATAATAATGAAGGAGGTAAAGAAATAATATATTTGCCTAAATAAAAATACAATGAAAATTCTGAGGAGCTTGTGATGGTTTAACCATCACTGGACTCTTGAACTCTTATTTACTTTCTAACTGCAACTTTGACTAAAATGAAATTTTATGTATCTAACTGGAACCCCATTTGTATCTTAATTGGTGATGCAGACTTGCCAGTACTTGTGTGCAAATGCATTTATTCTTGCAGCTTGTTTTTGTAAAAGATATAAGTTGTTATGTTGTGAAGATGACTAGTGATTTATTGCCTCTTCCAGTGTCACAAAACTGTGTTATGATCTAGCACAGTGGTATACTATCAATGGCGACTCAGAAGTGAAGTTCGAGCATGCATCATATATTATAAGCATCCACATATATCCAAAGAATATGTCATCCCTTTAGTAATTACAAGTGTAAAAATAACAACTGTGATATAGAAGAGGTAAAAGTCATGGATATTTAAAAATATTTTTGCAATTTCGATGGCTGCTTACCATGTTTGTGATATAGTGTTTTAAATGCAAGTGTGTGAGAAATCTGCGTGGATTCTACAACGTCATGTGCCTGAGTATATTTTTCCCACTTGTTATGGGCAATAAGAAAAATTTTTTAACTTTCATGTACAATTTCTGCATTTTCAATAAAGTGTACTTTTAATTAACTATTTCAAATGCGATACATTACAACTTGCTAGCTGCCATTTCTCTGTCACAGGTGACTGGTTTTGCTCACTGAATACACATGTTTAAGGCAACATTGTGTATTATTTTTTCATAATTGTAATGCATTATCTTTCCTGTATTTACTTTGTATTACTTGTATTTCTTTTTATATATATTTCATTATGCCACTCACTAATCCAAGCGAAGGTAGCAGTGGAAATAAGATTGCGCATGTAGGAATAAGCCACCACTATTCCGGAAAATGATTCCGCGCTATGGTTTCTTAGATTAGAAGTGCAGTTTTCCTTGATTAAAATTACTTGTGAAACTTCTAAATTTAATGATGTTGTGGCACTGGTTGATGCCGATATTCTCATGTCTGTAAACGATATTATTATTAATCTCTAAAATGCTAGGCCATAAGAAACTTTAAAGAATTATTTTATCAAAGCCCATTCAGAGAGTGAAGATTGAAAAATATACACTTTTTGCTGCAGGACACAGAACTTGACAACTCACATCCATCTCATTTACTTGCGCGTATGCATGATCTTGCTGGCAGTGGTTCTCAACCTTTTGACAACCATCTAAACAAAAATTGAAAACCTTTAGTACCACCACTACAAAGAACTACTACCACCACCACTCTTGAACAAAGCTCAGATCGCATACATTTACAAGTGTTAGAGAAAAAAACTCAGTCAGGATGTTAGGGTTTTAATTTTTGAATTTAATATTTAAAAATCCTTTGCTTCTTTGCATATCACCTATTTTTCTCTTGCGTACCACATGTTAAGAACCCCTGAGCACTCCTCAAATCTTTCTGGCTCACATGTCTATCTAATAACACAAGCAGCATCATAGGAGTAAATGAGATTGTCACACTTGGCTGTTGTGGAGACAAAATTCATGATCTGGCCACATCTCTAATCAATGCAGTATGCAGTGGACAACCACCTCCATATTCATCACTGCAAGCACAAATTGCATAGCTCAGCCACAAGTGAGTGAATTGGCCATGACTGTACATCATCTTAGCTGCTCTAGAGACAGTAAATTTAAAAATCATAAAGTGCATAATCACAGTTGTTGCAGAGGGCACTATAAAGGACTATTATTCCCTCACCCATATCTAGGGCTGTACCCAACTGTTTTATGGGTGGGAAGTATGGAAAACATTAGATTGAGCTTGTACATACCACCAAAGCCTTGTCAATACAACTGACATTAAAAAAACGCCGTAACAATTCCATTCAGTTTATATGAATATCTGTTTATGCTATTTTTCCTCTGTAATATAGGGCAGACTTGTCAGGTGTTAGGTGGCCTAGACATTTTTATAACCTATTTGGATGATACAGTCACAAGTCTTTAATCCGGACCCCAAAGCTACAAACTTTCTTCGCATGCGCAAATGCATAATGCGTTTACGCATGCCATAATACCTTTACACATTTGCATATGCGTTTACGCATGCGCATATGTTTACGCATGAACGTTTAATGTATAACGGACGGTATAAGCTAAGCTAAAATTATCTAATTATCTATTTCAGTTAATGTAGCAGATTGCATTGTTCCTTGATCTTCTAAAAAGTGGAATTGCAGCAAAGAATGGATAAAGGCATATCCTTTGTTTCTCTAACCATTCCGAAATCAGTTTATGAATTTCACACTGCTCTACGGGAAGAAACATTGCGGCGCGCAATGAACTGGAAGTTGATCTGTCAGCACTATCTTCATCTTCAGAGCAGATTTTTTTATTTTATTCGGCTTATAATTCCTTACTAAATGTAGTATTTTATCTCAATGTACTCTATCTTTGATATGATTTAAATCAAATTCCCCGTCATTATGAATATTACGATTACACATCAAATAGTTTTCTGGTTCCAATTTTCTAATTTCGACTATGCATAATGTATGCTTTATGCATGTACGCGTTGAAAGAAATGTTTAATAAAGTAAACAAATAAATATTAAGGGTTTTTTTTTTTTTTTTTTTTTTTTTTTGTAAATTTTGATACTCTTTAGATCGTAATTGTTCTTTATTTCATAAATTACGGTTTCATATTTTTAATTTTATAATTTCTGCATGCCATCTTACCAGATTTAAACTGATGATCTATAATCCGGAATCGCTGAAGTCCCAACGAGTCCGGATTAAAGACTTTTGACTGTATTCTAATCGCGTCTTCAAATGAGGAGGAACACAACAGCCATCTTAGGCAAGTTTTAGATTGCCTCAGACAGCATGAGTTGAAACTAAGCCCAGCTGAATGCATTCCAGGAATGTCTTCTGTGGCTTTTCTGGGATGCCTTATAACACTTTTTGTGGTAAAAATCGCTCCGCAAAAAAACTTAAGCAATTGCTCAATTCCCAAAGCCTGAAACTATTATAGAACTATGATGTTTTCTAGCAGTGCTTCATTTCTAACATCTTCCACCCCAAACTCTGCCAAAACCTAAGCTCTCCTGCATGAACTGCTAAAATATTTAAAAAAAATGATAAATGTCTGGTCCTTTGGGATAATATTTTAACACACATTTCAAGCATATAAACATGATCTTATGAATTCAGTAACTCTAGCTTACCATGCTTCTATAAACTACTATCGCTGATGGTCAATGCTGACAGACATTGCTATTGGCAATGTATTAAATGATTATTGAGCTTAAACTGAGGTAAAGGCTTGCAACCTTTAGCATTCTTTTCACTTAAACTGAGCATTATTGAGTAAAGATACAGAACCTATGACAGAAAGTTCTTAGCAATCCTTTCAGCTGTAAAACGCTTTCAGCATGTTTGCAAAGCATGCATTTTACAACATTCATGGATCATAAACCTTTGACCTTCGCTTTTTCACAAAACGTTCTGATTCAGGTTGCCCTCAGCAACTCTGATGCCTCAACTACATATCACAATTCAGTACAGGTATCAAACATGTTACTGAATTCAGTAATATAGTGGCTGACACTCTATCCTGGATAAATGAGATTCACTTAGCTTCAACCAATTTATCTGTTATGGCTGAGGAGCAAGCCAAAGATGTTCATTCATCTGACCTACTTGCTAAGCCTGATTCATCACCTCAATTTTTGCAAATATGTCCAAATTTAAAACTTTACTATGATGTTAGCACTGTGAAAGTTCGACTTTATGCTAAAGAAAAGTTACACTACTCAATCTTTACAGAACTTCATTATTTATCCCATTCAGGTATTTCAGCTTTCCATTAACTTATTCAATAATGATCTGTATGACAGGGATGTTAAAGGATATAATGAATTGTGCATACATCGTGAGTACAGAATTCATTGACACACTTGTAGCCCTTTACTATTGTTTCCTGTTGTTTCTCAAAGATTCAAAAACATTCACCTCAACATCATGGGTATGAATATAAGTAAGTAAGTAATATAAGAGGTATGGTATACCTCCATATGAAAGATATACATATCTTGCCACCTTCATATATCATTTTTCCCCATTGCCCTGAAGCGATACCTGTGCAGGAATGACACAGTAGCCCACATGTTTATTATACACTGGATTGCAAGATTGAGTTCCACACATCGTAACTATAGATCACGGATGACAATTTGAGTCTCATTTAATTTCTTCACTCAACAAGATTTTAGAAATTTTCTGCATTTGAACTTCCCCATACAACCCATCTAGCAGTTGACTGGTTGAGCAATTTCTTGGACCTTTATAAGCAAGCCTTAAGTATCAGTAAAACACACCAGTGGACAGAAACTTTACCTATTGTCCTTTTTGGCCTCCACTCAGCTTTCAAAGAGGACCTTGGTGGTACTTGTTCTGAGATGTTCTACAGAACACATTGTCCTTAAGAATTCTTACAGCCCTCTAACTACTTGTTGCAGACAGATCTTGTAGTATTCCTCCAGCATCTGTGCAATAAAAAGTAGGAATTATCTCTGACCTCTACTTTTGCCCATATTAAACTTTCTGTTTTGTGCACCCCTTCTTAAAAACTTGCTTTTTTTTTTTTTTTTTTTTTTTTTTTTTTTTTTTTGTGCAATAACACAGTAAAAGCACTGTCAACATAGCTGCATAATGGTCCCTATCACATTGCAAAACATGCCAGTAAACAATTCACCATTCTGATAAATGGAAAGAGTCCATTATTAAAATTAATCACTTGAAGCTAGCCTTCGTTACCTAGTACAGTGTACTACCAACAGCTCCAGTTATTCCTAGTGGTGCTTCATCAACAGCAGTAGCTATTCCTAACAGGAGTTCAACAAACTCACACCAGCAGAATCATCAAACACAGTAACATCTTTGCCTCAAAAGAAAACTACTTGTTCTGTTAGAGCAATGAGATTTAATCCTCATTACCTATGATGTGTTAGTACCTATGGTACTTGGGGAGGATACTGTCACCATTTTTAACTGTTACTAGGATTCTTGAACTCTTATTTACTTTAACTGCAACTTTAACTAAAAAGAAACTTTATGTATGTAACTGTAACTATGTTTGTATCTTAGTGTAGACTTAGTGTAGTGTTTGTATCTTAGTTTGTATCTTAGTGTAGACTGCATGTGAGTATGATACTCACATGCAGATGCATGCATTCTTATAACTTGTTTTTGTGAAAGATAAAACATGTTATGTTCTGAAGATGACTAGTGATTTATTTTACTAAGAAAATTTCTTCCTCTTCCAGTATCATGAAATTGTGTTATGATCTAGCACAGTAGCATACCCACTAACTTTAGGAAAATCATAATTATAAATATGAAGTAGCTTTATATACATTAAAGAAAAGGAAACAGAGAAAAACAGAGAGGTAGACATACCAATCAGGGTGGACACGCCAGTTATTTCCCCGAAAATACTGCAACCCTAAAAGGCACATATTGATTAAAGTAAGATATAACAAGTTTAATTAAATCATGCCATGAGTCATTAACAAAAATGAGCAAATAGCATTAAACATATATTATGAATTAAATGTATAAATATGATTTTAAACAGTTGAAAATGATAAAATATACATAAAATTTAAAAGCAAAGTTAGTTAAATTATTCCCTTCCTCAGAAAAAATAGCTATGTAATAATGTTGCTTTCGGTCAAATAGAAAATTTTCATTCAAAAGAATAATTACAACAAGTCTACAATTATTTAAAGGAAAAATAAAGCATTAGTTCAACAGATCAAAATTCTATGTGAAAATCTATGTGATTTTTGTGTGACCATGGTATTACTTTCTTACAACATGTTAGCATATTTGTTACACAACATTACATCCAATAGACAGTCTAAGAGCATGGTTTATGAATTTTTATAATTATGTTTGAAATATTGGATTTGTCTCAGCTGCTAATAACAGAAACTTTTGAAATTCACAGATAGTTATGTAAATGTAACAGAACATTAAATTAAATATGCAAAATGAATGAAAACAAAAACAGAATATTAGAGAATAACAGTCCTACATTTTAATAAATACAGAAAATGCGATTCATACCATAGTAATATAATTAAATTCACACATTTTATAATATTATAAAAAATACTCATACGTACAATAACTATGTCAACTGGAATTAATTTAATTTAATTAAAAACTTTTTTTATTTTATTAAAAAACATTTCCAACACAGATATTTCATACCTACAGTGGTCTAATATACATGATTTCTTTACCACATGGAATGGTTTCTATCATCTGCAGTAACCAATGCAGTCAATTTTGTATCCAAGTGCAACAATGATAATATTTTAGCTTCACTTTTAAATTACACAAAGTGGGTCAGGGATATTTATAATTTTCATTTGTGCAACAACTTATTGCATATCAATTACTTTGTTTGTTTGAGTTATGCAATTTTTTTCCCATTCAGAACGAAGAATGCAATTTGCTATCTGTACATTAACAAAAATGTACACAGAAAACTGAGAGAATTCTAGTAAGTGAAATATTTTTGACTTTAATAGTAATTTTTCCCCCCTGAATCTCTCTTGCACAGATCATTAGGCATTTTATTCCAGAGCAGGAGATGTGAAAGATGTGTAATGCCCTCATCAAGATTTGAACTCTGGATTTTAAATTGCTAGCCAGATGTGCTTTCCAGTTATACCATGAAGGAATACTACTTAAAGGGTGACTGGGGAAACTGGGACCACCCAAGCACTAACCCAGGTGGGGATGAATAATCATCCACCACTTTTTTAGTTTGGGTGTTACTTATAGAGACCATTAGGCATTTTATTTCAGAGCAGGAGACACAAAAAATTTGCAGTGTTCTTGCCAGGATTTGGACTCTGGACCTTCTAACTACTAGCTGGATGTGCTTCCCAATGACATCTTGAAGGCACATAGCATGGAAGGAGAAATACCTTACACACTTAGAAGTTAATCTGCCAAGTATGATCTAACTAGTCATACTTTAAAATGTTAAATTTATTGCAGATTTGTGAAAACTTTGTAATATTCATCTAACATGAATATAAATTTATTTGTTTTCAAATTATTTAACCCATTAGCCGCTGGTGTTGTGTTGACGCAACGGTCAAAATAAATGCGTATATAAATATAACTACCTAAGATATTTTATACCAGCAGATGATTTTGTGTAGGGAATATTATGAAGATTATTTCTGTAAAAAAATATTTGCTTTCAACAATCATTTTGTTTGTAATAATTAATCTCATACTTTAAGCAAAATTTTCGACCAGGTATTTTTGCTGAAAATATTTAACGAAAGAATCGCCATCTTTATGAGTGATCTATTTTTAGTCACCGTTTATCAGAACATTACATCAGTCAGATGTTTATATTTGTGCTGGGAAGGAAGGGAAAACAGGTGTTGCACTGACGCAACGTTAGCAGGAAACGGGTAGTCAATCTTTTTTTTCACTCATTCCTTTTGATGTTCTGGTTCATATTCTGGTTGTTTAAAAATGCATAGAACAAGGTATCTTAGATTAGAAGAAGCCCTTCAAAGATTTTTTGATGAAGAAAATTGTTGTTGTTGTTCCCCCCAAAATTGCAAAAGCTAGTGACGAAGAAGAAAGGAATGCCAATATTTTATATAATGATAATGATATTTTACCAAACGATACTGCTGGGGAAGTTGAAATTCAAGTAAGAAGTAAGTTTCAGCCTTCTAAAAGCAGTTATAATCATACTAAAAAGTTTAAAAAGCAGAAGACTGAAAACTTGAAGTGAATAAAAAAGGAACTGCTAGTTATGTCTCAGGAAGACCATGAAGAAAGAGATAGAAGAGAAATTATAAAAGACAAAATACAAGGTAAAACTAGTGCACAGATTTTCGATTTTCTTTTTGGTTTAGACATTTACTCTCTTCTCGTTGAACAGACAAATATATATGCTCAACAACAACGAAAAAAAAAAAAAAAAAAACACTATTTATTGCATATGAAGCCTATATGAGAAGATTTATTGGAATATTATTGCTTACAGCATATCATTCTTTACCTCAAGAAAAAATGTATTGGTCTTTTGATAAGGACATTTCTGTTCCTGTTGTACGGGAATCGATATCACGCTTGCAGTACAGGAATATGAAGCAGAATTTGCATTTGACAATAGTCAAATTGACAATATTGATAAATTATATGAGGTGAGACCATATCTAAACTTACTAAATATCACCACTTTTTTTACTACTGGAAATATAAGTCTCTTTTAGATTTCAGACGCAAGAATGCATTATTCCTTTTGAAAACTCCTATTGAGAGTGTAGAATTAGCCAGAAATAGATCAGCAACAAGAAGACCTAGTAAATTCAGTATTTAAAAACCACTGCATGGAGCTGGCAGACATTTTATCGTAAAGTCCGCTGATAACAAAAGACTTTGTTGTAAAGAGTACCATAGCCAGACTGTTTATAGATGGAAAGTATGTAATGTAGCTTTACATCATGATTGTAATCAAGCTTTTCATGCTTGAATCTTTCAACTGAAATAATCTGTATTTGTAAAAGAAATACAATGTACATTTTAATATTGAATTAATTACAAGTAAAGTGATTTGTAGATTTATAAAACGTTATACAGCTAAAAAGTAATCCTGCGCTCCACTCGAAAGAAACATCACACGAGTACAATCCTACTCATTAAACATCCGTAGTCTTATTCTGCTGACGTTGTGCGAACGCAACACTTGCTTCTTCCCCAGTAAGAGCATTTTTTTTTACTTTCAATGTAAATTTATGTTATAAATGCTTAATTTAACATTTGTTATTATTTTCATGAGAAAAGAAACACTCCTTCTAGTTTTGGCAGTTAATGGGTTAACTGAATGATTACATGGTAAATTCATATGTCTTCTAATGTGACGAAGATACTCTCAGATTTAAAATACTTTGAGCAAGAAAAAACCATTTTGGACCCTAGTAAGAGCAATGTTACTTTTTGTTCTATCTCTATCCATCACTAATTCATTAAACAAGATTATGAAATCATAATAAGTTGGGAATTCATAAGAAATAGCTGTAAAATTAATAGCTGTAAAAGCTGTAAATATTAAAATAATGTAAATAAAAACGTAAATATTAATAGCTGTAAAAGCTGGACTTATGATTGTTTGAAAGTTCATGGAGAAAAGGGGATATTGAGGTATTTTTTAAATTTTATGATTTTTTACATATATCTTATATTTATCTACACAGCTACAATATTTAAAAGAGTAAAACAGAAAGGGAGAAGCGATTAATTTTAATAGGCTCCTCAGTCGCATGATCCAGGAGGGATAGCATATGTGTCGTGCTGTCTTTATTATTTTCAAAGAAATTGTCAAGAACATTTTACTTTAAAATAAAATTATTAATCTTTTCTGTGTGTAAGTGACTATATAAGTAGTTCAAAGTATTTTAAAAAATTAAAATTTTATTAATAGGTCCATAGAGTTCATCCAAAATATTTGTACAAGAGTTTCTATCACAGAAAAACTTAATAATTTCATTGAAATATTACACATTTTTTAGTTTGCATCAGAAAATTGTTGAGTGAAATAACTAATAATTTGATAAGACTGGAAAAGAAGTATAACAAGTAAAGATATTCTCCGAGATTTTACATATTTGAAAAACTGAAGCTTATTAAAACATGCAATTTTGGACAGCATACCCTTTCATGCTGTAACTTTACTTTTTTTTATCTGTTTAGTAATTAATATTAACTATTTAAAAGCAAAAATTAAATATATTTAGAAAACACAGTAGCAAGTTGAGGGCTATCTGCCAAAGGGGAGGAATATCTCCATGTAGGAATTCTTACAGGAGACTAACTATGTTCACATTACACATAAGGAAAACCATGAAGGACCAATCTTCAGCCAGCCTAGTTGCCTGGGACTGAACCTAGGATGAACCACCAGCATTCAGCAGTTTTAACTTCTTGGCTACTGGTGGGTGTGTATGTGATTATGGCAAAGCCTCGAGGGCTATCTGGCTAAAGGGAGGGAGGACTTTCTAAGAAAAACTGGCTCGTATACATGTTACACATGGAGAAAATCATGAAAATGTCCATGCAGCCAGCCCGTTCGCAGGATTCAAACCTCGGACCAAATTACCAATGTTGAGCGACTTAACCGCTCAGCCGCTGGTTGGCCTGCTACTGGTGGGAAAATATGCTAATGAAAGTAAACAAAATTTTTACTTTGAAATATAATGAGTCATCATTTTCCCATAAATAACATTCTTAAACAACGAAAAGTAAGTCCAAGAGAAAACAACCTAAACAGCAACAGCATAAAATGGAATGATGCTTTAATTTGGCATCATTATCACTTTTAATAATTTTGAAATCATCACCAAACATTTTTAATATTTAAATTTATATATATATTTGAAATTTCTGAATAACAAAACTCTA